TTCTCGGGTATGGGGTTTGCTAATGAATTAATATGTATCACTGGGGCATTGTCATTCACATCAGTAATATCTATTACCACCTTTGTTTCTGAAGAAAGGCCATAGCCATCCTTTCCCTCAATGAGCATTTCAAATTTTGTTTCTTCTTCATAGTCGACATTTTTTGCGACTGTAATTTCTCCAGTGTGTTCATTCAATGCAAATATTTCTTTTGCGATATCACTTATTCCACTGAAATCATATGTTACTTTACCATTCACGCCTTCATCTGCATCAGTAGCACTCACTGCCACTACCACGGTGTCTACAGGAGAGTTTTCAGGTAGAGTAGCCTCATAAACGGCCTGGCTGAAAACGGGGGCGTTATCATTAGCATCCAGTACAGTGATTTGAATGACAGCGGTACCTGATTTCTGAGGGTTACCACCATCGACGGCTGTCAACAATAAGATCACCTCTTGCTCTTCTTCACGATCTAATTCTCTATCCAAAATGATCTCACTGTATTTTGTACCAACAGAATTAGTAAGTACGTTGAGCGCAAAATAATTGTTTTTCTGTAAAACGTAGTTTTGCACAGCGTTTTGTCCTATGTCTGCATCGCGTGCCGCATTTATTCTATAGCGAGAGCCTTTGGGAGTGGATTCCCCGATTTCCAATTTAACCGCATCCTTAACGAAAACTGGTGGATTGTCATTTACATCCTGAATTTGCACAGATATCCGGTGCGATTCGAGTGGGTCCTCAAGTACCAATTCACATTTCAAAATGCATGAAATCTTCGCTCCACAGAGCTCCTCTCGGTCAATCCGATCAGCGACGACCAGTTCTCCGGTAACAAGGTTAATCTCACAATAACGTTTACGGTTTCCTTCGAGGACAATTCGAGCCTTCCGAGGTGGAAGTCTGCTTACTTGTAGGCCAAGATCCTTGGCTATGTTTCCAATCACTGAACCGCGTTTCATTTCCTCCGGAAAAGAATAGCTCACATCGCCATGAGAGAGCTGCAATCCTAATAGCAAAAGAAGTGAGCCGCAGAAAATATTCAGTTGCAATCCGTTATATGCCATCCTCCAGCAACCAAAATGAATCAACAATAACAAAGACTTGGTCGGTATTCCACACAAACACACAGGAAATGCACATACGTGAATGATTCAAGTGTTATGGCAAACAATGAGTAAGACAACTGTGGGTGGGGACGATTTCGCATGCAACCTATTTCACTTTTCGACTGGTAGACAGCGACCCTCACAGCATGTTCGAAAGATTACAAGATACAGTCACCATGCATGTTGTTAACAAAACATAACTCAATGTATGGGAAAGCACCTCGGGTCTGATGAACAGACAAGCAACATGAAGTGCCAACTTAGGAGTTTGTCATGCACATTGAAGTTCTTCACGAAGGAAAAACACTGAAGGACAACAAAAATATAAAGACTCATTATGTTGTTTTATATTGCAACAAAATGGGCCTGTATGAGTGCAGGATAATAGTAAGTGTTTCTACAATTCTGTGTATTTCATGTACATGTAAATCAGCCCAAACGATGAGAAATACCTTAAACTATATTGCGATTGAAATCAACATCACCAAAAAATAACAGCCGAGAGGAGAACATTAATTGAACACATATCAAGAAGTTAAAATTATTGGAATGGGATAGAATATTATTTTTGATTGTTGCATTCGATTGCATTGCAAGCAGGCTCTATTCTCATCCAAAATAATGTTTTATGTAATAAATGTAATGCTTTCATAGTTTCTGTGGACAGCCAAAAAATGAATTTTGTACTGGATTCAATACAATACTCTGATGTAAATAAGTGCCTCATAGTAATACCACGCAAAAAACAGAATGTCAAATCTTAATTCCATATTTTACTACCAAGGTCCGTTTGATACACTGATTTCAAAGGGTCTGAATTTTAGGATTAGTTGTTCTTTTAAGGACCATGGACAGCGACAGATCATAGCACGAAGAAGGAATACATGTGATTTGAATTAAATGTTCTAAAGCCAACGCATTGATAACTTTAAGAAGGTTGATATTAATAATTTGAATTTCCTGGATGATTCAGGTCAATGAGTATGCTGAGTTAATATCAAAAATATGTTTAGGTGAAGCCTACCTCCAGTGAATCCAGTGAGGCCCCAAATACTTCAGCAAAGTCTGATGGACTTTTCCTTAGCGTCTGGTCAGCAGGCAGTGTGTTGTCATTGTAAGATGACACGAACTT